AGGGGGCGCCCCCTGCACGCTCCAGTATAAGACCGCCAGACAGCCCTCCAGAGTCCGTCACTCTCCAGGAGTCACACCACTGGTCGCACACGCAAACATGGCCTGCATCAAGACTGTCGTAAGTAGATTAGTGCCTCAGTATTATTACTGAGTCTGTTTTTGCGATACTTTTAACACAAAACCATGCGATAACTGGTGTTTTGCGATTCTCACGTTAAAGGGCACGATAACCCCAAAAATGTGATGAAAGTATCACATTATTGTGATAAAATCATCACAAAAATTATTTTATTACATTTTTTCTGATGATTTTATCACAAAATTGTGATACTTTTATCGCATTTTTCGAGGTATCAGGCCCATAAGCGTGGGAATCGCAAAACACCAGTTATCGAAAAATTCAGTAAAAGTATCACAAAACGGATTTCAGTGAAATCAATTATTGTTCGTACTTCTTGGAATTGATTTATATTTTTGCGTTGGTCGTGCAAAACACACAATTTCGCACAGTACACACGGAGATAGGGCAGCAAGCCTCGCCTCGATAGCGCCATACGTGTGTGAACTGTCCGCCACGATAACGTTGTACGTGTTGTAGTGGAAGGACTCTATTGCTTGCGACATTCTGCGTAGGATAGATAGATAGTAATACGAGTGAAGGTGAAGTGGTCTCGATTCGGCTCAAAAATTCTCTGAACTGTGCGCGATGAGTGAGAAAAAGCGAGTGGAAGTTTGTTTTTATGTGCGCCTTCCCTTGTTGAAGTTCCACTTCGCTCACTCCCAATCTGTAAGAGCGCGCTCTTCGCACTTTGAAAACTCACCAGTGTACATTGTATGCTGATACATCCAGCAGAGGACTTTAGAGTCCCACGGGTGCACCGCACCGCTCTCTACAATAATATTGACAAATTTGTAAATAAGTTGAAGGAGGTAAAGCTGGTTACAGTGTTTACATTTTACAGTATTGCTTATCGCTATTCATTATTAAGTTTTTTAAGTATTGCTTACGTGAGTTTTCGTTGCTATGATTTAGGAAATTATGGACAGAGTATTGATTATAGTATAATCGGACGACACAGGCACGGAATGAGTTGTAGAGTATTTTACAGTATTACGACTAGGAACTACCAGTTTATCACAGTTCTCAAAATTTTGTTGAGTTACGGGTCCTTTTGCCCGTAGAGCCGTGCAGTGTGTGTAGACCGGAAGATAATCACAACGCACTACTTTGAAAAAACATATACCGATAGTGTTTACTTGTTGGGGTATTGTTCACATTCGGGACGAGCTCGCGGTCGGTCAGTCTGGTCACGCCGCGCGCGAGGCGGCGGCCCCCCTTGACCATTCCGTTCTCGTTGTGCCGTCGCGATTTGGAGGAGGGCCATATGCCCTATGCTGTGTGGGACATAAAGCCTTCCTGTCCCGCTCCTGGGCGCCCCCGAGTTGCCTCAGAGCGTCGTTGTTGTCACGCGGGCGGCAGCGACACTCCTCCCTCCACGCCTCGCTCTAATTCATGCATGTGTGTGTGTGTGCGTCCAGGTGATCCTGCTCGTGGCCTCCCTGGCCCTGGCGGCGGCCGTTCCCATCCCGGAGCCAGGCGGCTGGGGAAAGAAGCACCAGTAAGTATCCGAAATGCAACGACAATTACGAATAAAACCATCTCGAGATGGTTTTAAGTGCTGCTATAAAATCTTTCACATTCAGATATAACATATCAGTAACGTCAATTTATGACTCGTGCATGTTATCAACTATTCATTTTCCTCTGCCGTTTCCTTATTTTATTTTTAAATTTTTCCTAACGCGTCTTGACCAAAGGAAGGGTGGTTTATGGCGTAATGTCGGTAACACTCGTCAAAGTGTTGAGAGGGCTGCGGTCTGTTTTTTTTTAGCCGCATCTCGAGTCGCGTTATGGCTCGAACCGTAACGCGGTTGTGACCACAACAACGACAACGACTGTCACACCGTCGTAACGTTTCGGACGTGGAGCGACTGGAACAATACCCGGGGCGGCGCCCCGCGCGCGAAAATCGAAGCGTTCGCCAATGACCATGTTTTGTTTTATTTTTTTGTGTGTGCTGTTTACCTTCCTCCGTCATAAATTTAACATCTCGACGTGGCATGATGTTACAGGGATTGCCTTTCTTTTTGTTTCGTCGCTCGCGCGTGAGTGCACGGCAGCAAGCAATAAGCAGACTGGGCTTCTAGTAGTGCAGGTCAATCGCTGCCACTCTTTGCTTCCGGGCTACCGACTTAGTTTTCCTTTCCCTTTTCCGACGATTGTGGTTGTGTGTTTTGTTTTCCAAACTACGGCACCGCTGGCCACCGCCGCTGGCGCCGCCGCTGCTGACTGCAAGTCATACTTACTCGGGAGGGAAGGGGAGGAGGGCACGCGGCGCCGGGACGAAAACGTAATGGCGAGGGATAAGGACACATTATGATGAAGGGCGTCACGTGACGAAAGGCACGCGCCAGTCGTCACACGCGCACGACAGCGTCGGCACGAGCGCCGTCACCTCACGTCACACGGTGGCTGGGGGGCGCCAAAAGCGCCAATTCACATTCACACATTCGCCGCCTTGTAAGGGTGCTGCTGCTGGGCTGGGCCGCTCCAGCTGCCCCCATTTCACCGGCCAGATTACGGCAACTACCGCACCAATTAGTTCGCATTTTTCGGCGGCAAATCGGTGCAATAAGGGAGGTGGAGGTGCCGAACCGCGCACCACGCCGCCAGCGCGTCGCCATCCAAAGCAGCGAGCAGTGCTTGTGAAATAATGAAAGGATGCAGTGCATCATGATTATTGCGCTCGCCAAAAAAAGGGTAGCAACCAGAGAGTGAGTGCGTTTGGCCTTGTTGTATCTCCCATGTCAGTGGTGCTGGTCGGAAGTCTTTCATCAGAGGAGTATGGGTACGTGCGCGCGTTACAGTGCGGTTACGGATAACTGTGCGGTTGACCCCCTCTCTCTCCCTCCTGGCTCTCCCCTCCGCGGACACGCCCCCGACTCTCCCACATTACCCTAATACGTATCTCTGCGTCAGAACTATTGCGCGGGGCGCAACCACCATAAAAATCAGACCGGGCGCATATTGTAACATCATCCACAACCCGAGTCCTTCTATTGTAATCCAAAAAGAATTGCCATCCAGGCTTTAAAAATACGCGTTTTTGTGATTGATTTAAATAATCAATTGACATTACAGTTATGTTAATCTGTTAATCTTGTAATGGAAATCAATTTCATGTTTATTTGTAGAGATTACATTTCATACTGTTCTTGTGTTTTCTTTGAATTTTCCTGTATTTTTGACGTGTAATTTCTGTTGGCGATTTTATTATTTTTCTGAGTTAGCCACTGTTACGTACAGTCACCTCGCGATAAGTGTCCGATGGCGGGACCGGCGCCAGACACATATCGAAGGGAGCAAAACGTTTAACACCTGTTGGGAGCGTCTGGCCCGGAGCCTCGCGAGTCCGAGGAGCTCATTGTTCGGTGCGTCGCTGGGGACCCGCCCGATCTGTATATG